TTACTCTTAAAAAATATAACGATAGGTTAAATTTAAATTATTTTATTTTTCTAAACAAAAATTTAAGGTGATTTGATAAAAAATTTTAATTATAAATTGCATCAATATTTTTTAAGTAATAATTTATTTCAATGGAGATAATTTTAAAAAAAATTTGAACATAATCCAATAACAACAAAATAAAGTCTATGCCCTAAAAAAAAATAAAAGGGGATTTTGACGGTTAATGAACTTATTTTTTTAAACAAAACTATTACTTAGTTAAAATAATGCTTGCAAAAAAAAATTTTTTTTCTAAGAAAGAGTGCTCCAGTTAATTAATCAATTTAATTAATTATTACAAATTTTAAAAAAAAAGTATCATGGCCTTGTGGCCCAGTCAGTTATTCTATCCATTCTCTTTTTAATGGCCCAAAATGAGAATATGGCCCGGCCCAAAAGAAAAGGTTTGCATATATTTTTGATTAATTGATGTTTATTTGATTTGATTAATTGTGCTTTAATTCTAAATAGTTTTGTCAACAAATAGATATTTGAATAAATGCACCTCCAAATTTTTCAATCTTTACACAATTTATAATTTTCATATCATTTGAATCTTGAGTAGGTGGTGAATACTAGAAAAGATAAAGTAAATGTTTAAGATCTTGGTTTTTCTTGTCCATTTTTATGTTGCAAGTCACAAACCCAAATCCAAGTTGCAAGTCAAAGTCTTTGTCTTTGTTGTACACGTTAAGTCGTAAATCAAGGTCTTTGCCATCCATGATATGAACAATATTTACTAATAAAATTTATTAATTATGCAGTCTATATATTTTGGTTGGACTACGTAGTTTGTTAATATGACCATAACAAAGTGTTTTCCTAAAAGTCCTCATTTTTGCAATCTATTTTGGTAGAAATATTTAGGCGTGTCACTTTGTATGAAAATTAAGAAAAGAATTTTTTTGACAACTCTCTTCTCTTAAGCGATAAACTTTTGTATTGGATGGTTGGAATTACTAGATTCACCAACAAGCTCAGCCTCAATACTTTTTTGGACACATATACATTTCCCATGGACACATGACATTCTTTGTTTGGGTGTTATTTATGGTGTAAATATTGTGATATTATTGGTAAAATGAGAAAACTTATTTGGTGTGTTTGGTTTAGTTGATTTTTTTAACTTATAATTTTTTTTTCTTAAATGCCTAGTTAGGATGTTTAGAAACACTAACTTATAGACTCATTTCAAACTATTAAGTAATAAATATTAGGTGTTTTATTAACTATTAACTAATAATTATAACTATAATTTGTTCTTAATAAATTGAACAAAGCTATTATTATTATTATTATTTTAAAACCTCACTTAGATATGGTTGGTTGAACGAGACCCAGTTATAACAAGAAGTTGGGCACATACTCTAACATGTTTTAAAGAAAAACCCACAAAACTTGACCAACACAGCAAATCTATTATTGGGTTATAAAAATCTCTCATTAGCAATTTGAAGTCAAAGTCTTGTGACCCATAATATTAGTGTAGGTCTAGGTCCTTGT